TGCCAGAGACCTTAGCCATAACTAAGTGCAGTCTTAGGTTTATCTGCTTCAGCCATTTTCACTTGATGGCTTTAAGTCCAGAGTTAAAAATCACCTGGCTCCACTTAGGGCATAAAGAGTATCATCAATTCTTGGCAGTGAGTACGAGTCATTTTCGGTTATACTGTTAAGAGCCCTGAAGTCCACACAACAATGTTGGGTCCCATCCTTCTTGTGGACTAACACGACGGGAGCTGACTAGGGACTATCTGATTTATCGACTATCCCTCCTTTAATTAGGCCATCCATGACCTAAACCATCTCTTGTTGCTTTGCCGGAGCTATTCTCCTCAGAGGGATCTTTATTGGACGGTAATTACCTGTGTTTATTCTGTGCTCCACAAGGTCTGTGCAGCCAAGGTCATGATCTCCTTTTGAAAAGACGTCTGCATAATTCGCCAAAAGTTCCCTAACCTGAAGAGCCTGTGATGATGACAAATGGACTATGCTCTTCTCCTAGAGGTCAGTTAAATGTTCTTGGAGAGGGTGTTCTTTCTTTGTGATTGTATTTCTTGCCTTAACATTGACTAGCTCTACCTCCTGGCACACACCCAACAAAGCCCTTCCTTAAATATCTGCTCACATTTAGAGAAATTAGCCACTTTTATGGGTGCTACTTGATGACCTGCCACAAGTGACCTTCCAATCTTCACGTCTGCTGGCCTGGATGGGTCGTTCACTGCTTCCACAAGCATAGGGCTTACTTGGGGATGTTCTTTTATTCTACCCCAAATTATCTTCTCTGACATATGGGATATTGTGGTTGACTGAAGTGCTGTGACATGTAAATCAATAGATGCAGCAACACTTACCGGAATTTGGCCCTTGCATTGCTCTTCAATGTCAGCCAAGTATACTTTATGTCTGTCCTTTTTGCCCATGAGCTCAATAGTTACCCACACTGGTCCCCACAATTTTGCATAATGTCCTGTCACACCACAGAGCTTCTGTATGGCTTTTGGTACTCCTTTGTGATCTAGCACCTTGATACTCACAAGAATTTGCTGAGATGCAGAATCTATGACAAAGGCGCACTTTTGGCCATCCAGCTTTCCTGTCACATAGACACTATGTTTACTTGCCATTTTACACTTAGCTGTTGGGCCTTTCACAATGGGGGTTGGTGGGCGTCCCGCAGCACCAACCACTACTGGTTCCCCAAAGCTGACTTATTGGTAGTATTCTTCTTACACTGGCTCCTCTTATGTCCTTGCTCTCCACAGTTCCAACAACTTTTCTGGGCAGCAGCCTTTCCTGTCGTGGTATCTTCCCTGTGTTGAAGTTGCCAGCATTTAGATCTCTTGTG